AATCGGACCAATCCACTTTCATTAGTTGATCTCTATCAATTCACATTTCCACTGTATCAACCAAAGATTTCAATCCCTGTGTTGTGGAGACCACACGTATAATTGGAGTTGGAGTGAATTAAGTCAAATCTGCACATTTAATTAGACGTTAAGTGCCTTTATTTATCTGTCAATTCTGGTTTGCCACTGCCCCCATAGACCATTCATGCTACTAGCTCTCACGAGTCACTTTCAGAAGAAAGTAATTCTCAGATATGAGATCATGAATCAATTACGCTCTGATCTACCATGTGATTGCAAACGAACAACTCCAAACATGTGGGACATCTGGATGCATTATTTTGTTGATCACGGGCTGCTCTGATTTTTCTTTTTCTCTTTTTGGTTTCCATCAACTGTTCCTTCAGGTACAGCCCCGATTTTACTTTACCCTTATAGCCTTAGTGCCTTGTCTCTAGTCTCTTCTCATTATTTATCAGCTGATTCTTTAATCTTGCATTTGCTTGATTGGATTTTGCTAATTGTCTATACTGCAATTTTAGTTTTTGGTTTGTTGTTTAGAAAACATTATGCATCTCAATGGTTGGATCGAATTATTCGCAAAAAATGATTAATTAGTTAGTGGCTGCCATATTTTTTGAGGGAATAAGTTTTTTTTTTTTTTTGGCCGAAGGGAATAAGTAAATTAAAAGATGATAATCAAGGAGTAAGGAAAAGGCACATCATCGGGAAAGGTCGAATTTTTATGGATGCATAATTTTGAATTTAGATCCAGAGGCTAAAATTCGGTTGATTTTGGCTATTGAAAGAGGTTAAAACGTGTATTTAATTCATTATCTTAATAAATTTAATATTTTTATTTTTTATTTTATATTATGAAATTTTTAATTTTTGAATTTAAAAGTTAAAAAATTTTAATTCTTAAATTAATAAAATTCATTAACTCTCTATTAAAATGAGTATAAAATATTTATATAATTAATTTTTAAAAATTAAAAATATAACAATTGAATTCTAAAATTTTAAAAATTAATAAATTAAAAATAATTAGTGAATAAATTTGCTGTATATATAAGAATAGTATTATATATCTATGATCAAATCGAGTAATTAGTTCAATTAAAAAAGGAAATCTAACTAAAATTAAAGAAATTTATTGGTTGTATTTTTTTAATCTCTTAAATTTTTTATTTTAATTCAATTAAAAAATTTTCTTTAATTTCAGTCAAAATTCTTTTTTTTATTATAAATATCTAATATTGTTTGTATATATGAAAATTTTATCTATTAATTCTTTTTAGTTTACTAAATTTTTTAATTTTTAATTTTTTAAAATTAAATTGTTACATTTTTAAATTTTGAAAATTAATAATGTAAATATTTTATTCTCATTTTAATAAAAAATTAACAAATTTCATTAGTTTAAAAGTTAAAATATTTAAATCTTTAAGTTTAAGAACTAAAAATTTTATAATATCAAGTAAGAGATTAAAAACTTCATTTTTAATAAGAGAAGGGTTTAACCACATATTTTAGCCACAAATGGGATCGAATAAGTGCAAAGCAGCCAATAACCCGAACCAATCGAACAGCCAAAAAAAAACTACTAACGAAGAATTTTAGAGAATTTAGGGATTCCACATGCATGCATGCATACATCCATTATTCTATTTTAGAGCTCCTAAAGAAGAATTTAATGTCTATTTATATGACTTCAAATTTAACACTTTTCAAACTTGTCTTTAATCCACTGGGATTCTTGAATACAAAGCATGAAATCACTCTACTCTTGCCAAAATAAATAAAGGCAGGATTTCCACGTAAGAATGAGACTTATTATCAATTTGCCAAAATAGATAACTCTTAATCATCTAGTGAAAAATTAAATTGTTAAAATTATAAATTATATGGTAAGAATTATGTATAAATAAATTTTTTTAGCCAACGTGTAAGTCAATTTTAACTCATAAGAAAGTATATATACAAAAAAAGATAAGTATCTTTATGTTTTTTAAATTTTAAGTTGCAAATCTACAACAATCATCTCCATATTTCAACATATTTCACTTGTATATGATGTAAAGTAACTCTTATAGAAATTTAAAACTAGTTGGTAAAAAGACATTATTGAATGGAATTTTAGACAATTAGTTAACGACGTGATAATAAACAATAAAAAAAATTGATTAAGGTTCTGTTTAGGATTCTTAGGTTGTGGAGATGATAAAGTTGAAGTTCATTATTAGTTTAATAATTTTTTGAGTTAAGGTATATAAATTGAAAAAATAAAAATTAATATTTTTAAATAAAAAATAAAAAAT